CAGCACTCAAGAAGGGATGGCCATTTTGCCTAAGAGCTTGCTCTATACATATACATAGGAGCCACTAATTTCCAGCATCTCTCCTTCTAACAACAAAATTAACTGTACAAACAACATTGGCATTTTATTTTCTAAAGCAAGCTTATGGAGATTTGCTTGTGCAAACAAAATCAAGAGAAAACTTCCCTTACACAGCTGCTGCCTGCAGAGAAAGCACCTTCGAGGAACGAAAGGGGAATTTCAGTATTGCAGAGCCTCAGATAGCACTTAAATCTCCAAATACAGTACACAGAGCAGACCACAGTTCTTGCGGGACTCAAACACTGACAAATTACCTGCCTTTTTGTTAACTATCAATGATATTTCTTTCAAGGTATTTTAAGCAGTTGTTGGCATAATGATACACTGCAAACTAGATGATTTCCACTGTAGTACAGAGAAGCGGCATCGAATGATAAAGCAAGTTAAATTTATATCAACCTTACACTATAAACATTTACATGGGGGGTATTATGGTTCAGTGCTCTGCTTCTAAGATTAATGCAGATTTAAACAGCATCCAGAACTATTAACATCATGAGGCAGGGGCTGCCAAGTGGCAAAGCCTACCTGACTACCTAGCAAGAATTTCCTGTTAAACATAAACCAATATCCAGTTGCACTGGCTAGAAAGAACTGCAGCACAAATGCATTTCCTAAGGTATTTGGAAATGTCAAGAACACTGAAGGGCACCAGACAGGGGGCACAAACTAGTCAAGAAAACAGGTACCTCTCTCAAGGGCTGCATAATTACGAATGCTCTAAGATTGGCATCCCCAAAAAGCATCTTCACACCCCTCCACACCTTGTAACCAAGCATTTTGAAAACGGAACAGGAATGTATTTCCTCTCAGGCTCCTGCCCTGGTTATCCCTACCTGCAACGCCTACGTGCTCCCACATGGAGGGTTTTCAGAACCGTGGCCACCCCTTCCACAGCACTGTTGCAAGACGGTAGCTCTCAATACCACGTTAAAGCCCTCTTCCTAAGCAGGTGTTTCTAACTGTACTGTAGGCTGTGTGCATATAAATTTCAAAGAGCATCACATTTTCAAGAACACTATGAGCACAAATATCTAAAGCAGTTTAAAAAGACTACAGATCTAAAAATAAGACTAAAAAGATAATGTGCCTCCAAAAACATCACTGCATGGAATTAGAAATCTACACAGTATCAGATGCCAGTGATGTGTACATAAACAAATTTATATACAGATAAATAGTTAAGAACTTACTACACATATTACTAACAAAAAGAAACTGGCATTTAACAGGTGCGACCCCCCTTCATCCTCTTCAAGTGTTGAATTATTTGTTGCATCGGGTCTGGGGACATCCCCGCGCACAGGAGGACAGAGCACAGCACATCCAGCACCAGGACTTTAGGATAGCTCTGCTGCTGTCAGAAAAGATGGTACCTAAACAGCCCCTGAAAGGAGGCAGCAGCTCTGCTTATCCCAAGTTACAAACACCACGGCTCTTCACACAACCAAATTTCTGGATAAAATTAGTGGCCCTTGATACCAGTCCCTGGAACTTTCCAGGTGAGATTCCCCATACGTTGCTCCTGATAACAAGGAACTACAAGTGACTGGGCTACTTAAACAGAAGTCTTGGGTAATGTGTAAAAACGACTTTAAAATGACTTTAAATGTCTTTAAAAACAGAACAAACCAAAAAGCTCAGGTTTTACTTCTGGCAACACACCAAAATAGAGATGAACAGTGCTCAGGTGTAATTTGGGAAGGAAACATTCTGCATGTAAGCCAGTAACAAGCATTTTCACCCAGGCTTCGGTGCCTTTAAAGCTATGCTTTTCAGCTCTGGTAGGGACAATGCAGCTCTATACACTTAAGCTCAGAGATGCAGAGATCCATAAGCACCAGATTTTTAACCATTATTTCCAATGCAATTTTGCACTCACTGGGATTCAATTTAGACATTTTGCAAAGACAGAAGTGCAACTCGTGTAACTGCACAATGCACAAGTACCTTACTTAGGACCTAAGAAAAAAATGGGAATCTAACTATGTGTCTTCTGATTGCACAGTTATTGTTTTAAGGAAATAGTGTTTAAATAATTATTTCTTACAGAGACCGAGAAGTCAGGAAAGACAGAAATCAAGAGGTCATTAATATGCAGTAATCTTAAATTCAGAGATTAAAGGCTAACCTGGGCAAATTCAGTAGCTTCAAAAAACACTAATATACGTTTTTCCCCCTTCATTTCTTGAAATCGGGATCTCAGTTTCCCTTGGAGCATCCAACATCATATGGGCATAAACAATATGCGAATTAAATTACTATGTGCACAACCACAGAGCTGAAAAGAAAGATACTGATCTTTTATTCATGCCTTGCTCAATGCATTTGCTGCACACATTTCAGTTTCGCTATCAGCTCGCACACAGGAGGCTGCAGGGCCTGCTCGCACTGCGCTGCTCCGGGGGAAAGGAGCAGGAGTCACTGCGCCCACGGCCACAGGGAAGGTCACGCGAGTCCCTAACGCGCTCAGTCTCCAAGCCGTGATCTCCACTGGATTAGAAGAGTTGACACAAGCACCCCAGGGCGACTAAGAAATAGAACCTTATTTGGAATTAACACCAACAATCGACTCTGACATTAGAAGTCCCAGTTGCTCCACAGCGGAGCAGCAGCTGGCCTTTTGTATTGCACATCCAGATCAAAACGTGGAAACAGAAGAGTTTTATAGACTACAGCACAGCAGGAAACAGCACTGAGTACTCTCATCAATCACGCTGATTTACAAAGGCCTCAAAAAGCTATGACTTTCATTTATTTATTTAATTTTTAACCAAGAATATTGATTCATTTGCATGGATTATAAGGGCAATTTTGACCACTGAGACTTTAGAGGATAAAGACTGTACGGATATTCAAGCATATGCAAGGGTGGAACTCTGCCTTAAAAACAAGCTTTAGACAAAATGTACGTGGAAAGACCATGAAACATTATTTTTCCAGCTAAAAAAAAAATCATTTTCATTCCAAGGGAGTAAAGACTTTGATTAAGCACCTCAAGTCAAATCATACGACTGTCTTCAAGGCCATCCAAGACAGTTTTGCCTGATACAAGAGTTTAAAAGTAAACTAATAACTCACAAAGTTTTAGGTCTGAAGGACTATCAACAAAGAAGAACTTACTTAACCACTGTGTCTCTTAAATGTAGTGACATTAATTAAAAGTTTTAGTGTGATTTTTGGAGCCTAATATCCCATCAAAAGCATATCTATCTGCAATAAGCTCACATGCAGGCAATAACTGTGCTTGTAGCAATTGCAATGGGGAAGTCTGACTTTGTGACCATCTCTCACTTAGTGTTAAGACCTTTTATTTTACCTGGAAAGTTCGACAGGGTTTCATGACAGACTGTATGTATGTGCTCTATCATTTTCAGTCCATAGGAAGATAGAACGGAATATATTTCAAACAGATTTTCATATTCCTCTCTCTCCATTTAATCTGGACAATATCCAGACACATCATACCTTTCACAAACCTAGGACAATCAAGTTGCAGTGTGCTTTGTCCTGCTCAGGCAGGAGAGTTGTCTTCATTTTCTGGTGGTCTTCTACAAACTGACAGTGATTTAACCCATGCTAAAGCAATACCTGGGCCTCTTGAAAAAAAGAAAAAAAAAGGTAGCATAAAACACCTTCAAAAGAAGAGACTGGATAGAATTTAAATTATTTCTCAAGAGAAATAGGTGAAAAATGAAAATGGGAGATGGGGATTAAAAGGACAATAGAGGCAGTGTGATATAAAACCATGAAGATCAAAATTAAAGAGGCTGTAAATCAATGCTAAAAAGTGCCAAGTGTATACTTACTGGTAGCTATGCTAGCTCCTGACTCAATATTGTCTAAAGCAACATTATTAACAACAAAATATACCAGCAACTCACCAGCTGCCTAAAATGTTGTCATAAATCTCAATAATCCACAGTTTCAAGAGCAGTATTCAAAATGGTTTGGTCACGAAACAGTACAGGAAACTTTTCAATAGTTTTCCCGTAGTTTTTCTGAGGGACAGAAAAACACTGATGTAAACAAGTCTAAATGCAAGACTATGTGCAAATTATACAGTATAAACACAAAGAAAGGTGTTTTCTTCTTAAAAAGCTATTTAAGTATTCCACAAAGAAGTTCATGAGAAATTTCAGAAAAAAAAAAAAGTCAAAGCAAAACAGAATTGTGCTTGAACTTCAAAGTCCACCATGACGACCACCAAATCAACCTATTTACATTCGATTTTGTGGCAAGTTAACGTTTGTGGTTACACTGTTACTGAAGATCCCCTTGGGCATAAACAGCTGTTCATCAATTTACTCTTCAAAGATTGGAAACTCTCTCTTTTTATTTTTCAAGGTAGATTTATTTAAGCCGAAAACCAGCATTAAATAGAAATCTATCTCTGCAGTACTGGCATTTTTGGTTCTTGGCTTTGTAAACTTGCTTAGATAACAACACAGGCAAAGAAAGACAAATAAGAATTGATTTGTTGCATTCACATGAAAAATACATGGACTTTTAAAGGTCTTCAACAGCTCAGTTGTATGGAAGCATGGTGGCTTCTGTGAAATATTTTCTTTTTCAAAATCTCATTTTTAGGCCAATACCACTGCTTAAAATGCAGAATGTCTCCATCACGCTTATTTTGTGACAACTCAATACATTACACCACAGACATTTAACATAACTCCATACATGCTAATAAAAAAAAAAAAGAAAAAGGAAAGGAAACAAATAAGGTCATAGATAAACTGCTTTAAATACTGCATGCTACAGCACTTAACGTATCATCAAGATACGACACTGAAGGTGACAAAAGGCTGAAGGGATTACAAAATATTTTCGGCAGGTTGGAAAGCTGCCTTCTTACTGTGGCAGAAATTTTCCCCCTCCTCATCTCTACTTCTAATGTTCATGATTCTAGTGTCGAGTTGGCCATGTATTTACTTATCCATTCTAATTACAGTATTTCCTTAACTTAATTAAATCCATCGGTGTGGTAGCTGGGGTGAGAGTCGGCTGTGAGCTGGGTTGTCTCTGTGGCTGACGCTGGCTGTACCACAATAGGTGTGTCCGAGGCCTCTGCAAGGGAAGACGAAAGGGTCGGCACGCGGAGGGAAAACACAGTGTCCCACGGTTTGGTAAGCAGCATTTTGGCAGTAAAATTTTACACCCCTCTTTAAAAA